GCTTATAGTTGTGAAAGTATCACAATCACTTCTGTCCTCAGCATTAAGTTCGATCTAAATGCTGTTCAACTTCACAGGCGTGATCTGTTTCGCATGTGACTCGTCACTTCCCCCTGGTTAATTTGTACACAGATCATATTGACTTCTAGAGAACGTCAAAGTAATATAAAGTTACTGTATTTGTAGTTTATTAGTTGGAGCAAATACTTCTCACTCACTGGCTTTTTCACGGAATTATTTTGTAACAGAAGGTTTTATTTTCCATTTTTACTCATTTATTCATTGTGATTGATCTTTGTACAGTAGAGTTGAAGCCAACCCATAGCTGACCCTCTGGTGGGTTTCCAGAAGCAGTTAAATATCACGGGAGGAGACTGCCCATCTTTCTCCCGCAATATACCATTAATGACATGATACCTTTTAAAACTGGCGGATTACTACTAAATAATCTGTATGATTGTCTAGAAAGGGGAGTTGTACCTTAACATTCATATTGCATTCCCTGTCTCCTATCCAGGGAAATAAAAGTTCTTTAGAGTTTTACAAGAGGAATACTACTTTGATACATTAATAGCAAATTGAGATTAACCAAGATTTGGAAGCAATAAATCTAGAAAAGGAGAAAGGAAAAAAAATCTTGTTATTAGAGGAGACTATCATTTTAAAAAAAGAAGATTCTACTTCTAGGTGAGATGGACTAAGCACACTAAATTCTGAAGCTACAAAACCTGGACACAATGTAAGCAGCAGCTATCTGAAGACTGGAGAGTAAACAGCAGCAAGAGAATCAGGGAAGAACACCAGAATGGAAAGTACCTGTGCCCTGGAAGCTTACTGTAACCCTTTGCCTGGAAGTGAACTCTACTGTGCAGATGAGACAGATCTACAGAAGTGTAAGGCAGGAAGGGGAATACTTAACGCTCTCAAGTCACTGTGGTGCCAACCCAAAGACCACAACCCATCGCTGCCTGTTCAAATCTACCAGTTGTTCTACTAGTGGCTCCAAAGGCAAAAAATGGGCAGATCCTTCCATTACGATTTAGCTTTGGAAACCTGATGGAGGGTCACTGAAGTTAGATCCAACTGGAAGACAGTGAATGAGAAAACATTCAGGAGTATGGGAATCTCACCCTCCTCCTTTTATCCACTCTCTTAAGCTCCAAACCCCTGGAACTCTTGCAGGGATGGCCAGCGTCTATTGGAACCCACAAGAGTCAAATCAAGGGAGTGATATTTTTCTTTGGTGAAGTGATGATTTCAAAAGGTAGAGCAAACTCTCATTGCTCCCCTCCCCTTTATGTTCTCTCCTCACAAGGGTCAGGATGCAGGCCCAATTACAGAAGTACAAGACGGAACAACAGAATTCAGTAACTACAATCCCATGTTTCTGGTCAAAAGTAAACTGATAGCGAACCATAGCCAACTAAGATTAGAAACTGCATCCTAACCTAAGAGGATGATAGTCTGGGAAGACAAATCCGACCACCTTGAGAAAATGTCATCATGATCCAGAATACCATATTCTCCAAGTATCCACATTACAGTACATAATCAATGTACAATGGACACAAAAATTTAAACTTGCAGAAGAAAATCAATAGCTATCAGACACTCTCAATGTGCGAGGGAGCTACTTCTCGGTGACCCTACAGGACAAAGAACTGCTGCCAGCGTTTCCTAGTGTGTAGTTTGACACGAGCAGATCACCATGCCTTTTCTCCCGCAGAACAGCTGCTGGGTTGGAATCAACCACTTTTGCAGTTAGCAGGTGAGCGGCCTAACCAGTCCCTAACATTTTTAAAAACGAACCGCATACTGAGAATTTAAAAAAAAAAAAAGTTAAAACTTATAATATGATTTTTAAATAATTTTTACATTTTATTTCAGTATACTAATTACAATTTATTAATGTAACTAGTAACAATATCTGATCAACTCCTTATATATTGCTTTTCCTCTACTGGCTTAGTAGTAAGGAGTTGTGCTTTCAACCCAAAGGCAAGCAGTTTGAACCCACCAGCTGCTCCACAGGAGAAAGATGGGCGATCTCCTCCTGTGCCGTTTACAGCCTATGAAAACCCCCTGGAAAGTCCACTAGAGGTTCGTTCTAACTTGACAGTACACAACTTCACCCAACTGATCTCTTTTTACTCCTCTCCCTTGCTTCCATCCCTGGCAACCACACAGTTTTTAACATTTTAAGCCAGTTAAGACCTCAATTTTCTCTTGAGTTCCGGTTGCTCCCACCAGGCAGAAAGGAGGAATCCTTCTAAAAAGGAAGAGCCATATATGCATGGTTCTTAGCATGCTTTTGGTTATTCTCCCAAGAAACCAAATCTATTGCCTTTCATAAGTAGATTCCAACTCAAAACTATTCTTTAAACAGAATAGAACTGCCCCATAGCATCTCTGATCTTTATGGGTACAGACTGCCTCATCTTTCCCCCACTTAGAGCCTTACTGAAACACAGGTGTTTGTTAGGAATCACTAGGATTCATCTCTTGTGTCTTTAAATATTTATTATCCAGAAGAACTGGCAGGTTTTGCCCGTTAGAAACTGGTTTTTGTTACTAGATGCCATTGAGTTGAATACAACTCACAGCAACCCTATAAACTACAGACCTGCGCTCTGTCCTATCCTGTGCCGCCCTCACCATCACTGATAGACATGAGCGCATTGCTACAGTCACTGTGTCAATGCATCCTGTTGGGGAGTCTTCCTCTCTTTCACTAACCCAAGGATAATGTCCTTTTTCAAGGAATAATCTCTCCTTGCAAAATGCCCAAAGTATGAGAGAAAAAGCCTTGCCATCTTTGCCTGCAAGGATCACTCTCGCTGCACTTTCTCCAAGACATCTATTTTAGCAGACAATAGGATCATCAGTACTCTTCTCCAACACAACTCAAAGGTATCAATTCTTTATTGGCCACGTTTATTCATTTTCTAGCTCTCTGGTGCATAGCAAGTAATGAACAGACCATGGCCTAAGGCACAGCTTAGTCTTCAAACTGACATTATTGTTCTTCAGCATTTTGGACGGGTCCCTGACTGCAAACTTGTCCAATGCAATTCATTTCCTGACTGCTGATACCAAGGATGTTGATTTTTGATATACCAAGGATGTTGATTTTTGATCCAAGCAAGACGAAATAATTGACAATTTCAGTCCTTTTCCCATGATTATAAATATTTCCATTATTCAAACCAGAATTTTATAATTTTTTTAATGTTTGCTTTCAATACCATGTTGTTGATTGCCGTCAAGTTGAGCACAACTCATAGTGACCCTATGAACAAAAGGCCTGAAACTTTTCTATAACTATTGTCATTTATCAAAGCTCAGAGTTCCCAGAGGCATGTTGTTTAGGAAGTAGATGCCAGTCCTGCTTCCAACTTAATACCACAGAAGATAGTAATATAAATAGCATAGAAAACAGTATTATAGAACTAGTCCTTAACTGTTTTTGGCTCTGCCTCTTTTTATGCCCCAAAGATTGCAAACAGAATGTTTCTATAATGTATCTAGAAGATATCTTCTATCTTAAATAAGTAAAATTATCAAGAGTGGATTTGATGCATTAAACACTAACAGCCCAAGATCAAATGAATTGTGGGATGACATCAAGATCATAAAGAAAAAGGGGCGGAGGGGGAAGACTGGTATAGTGACTTCAACAATGAGCCTGAGTGTGGTACAGATTTTCAGGTATGGCACAGATTGTTTAATCCAGGAATTAACTTGATTCCTGATGGCCCAAGGATGTCTCTACCTAAATTCCAAAGAACTTACTAAACAAAAAGATAAGCTGATCATGTCATGGAAATACTCAGCTAGACTCACTGAACTAGCATGTAAAGTAAACCCGCTTTTGTGGATATTAACCCACAAAGCAGCTTTATAGGACAGAGCAGAACAGTTTCTGTAAAGATTACGGACTTTATGCTTTCCATAATGTCCATAATCTTTACTGACACAGAATGCGACATCTTTTCCCTGCAGAGCAGGCTGGTAAATTTGAACCAATGACATTTTAGATAGCAGCCAAGTACTTACCCACTACGTCACCAGTGCTCCTTGAACTAGCCTACAGCTAAGCTCATTCTGTGTCAAACTGACAAAATGTATAAAACTCTATAGTTATAGAAGATAATAAATGATTGTGCTAGTTAAAATGCAAATGAAGAAGGCAATGAGCTGCATATATTAATGGAGTATTATCTGAGATAAGTAACAGGATGAGTCTTGAAAAATCAACTGTTCTCGTCAAACTTAATTTTGTACTTTGTAGCTGGCAAGTTTCCATTTGTCAGGTTGGATGCAGAAAAGGCTATTTAAATCCAAACAACTGTACATGGTTGGTTGAACATTTATAATTCAACAGTTACATAACTTCCCAAATACAGCAGAATATGAGCCACATAATTTGGATGTCAGCTAAATAAGACAAGCAATTCAGAAAAGGGTCACGTACTCAGCTGCACTTTAAGAGAGCAGGGCTGCCGAGTCAAGATGTACTTTTCCCACCGAGCTTCTTTGCATTAATAATCTCCTTAGTCAGAAGAACTGATTTCTTCTTTTTCAAAAAAGAAAATTATAAAACCAATATAAGAATGGTTACCAATGTTTTATTTTTTAAAGCTTGGATTTTTGGCTAAATCAAAGTGATGCACATTTCCATTACCTTTCAAAGTTGTGGTCTATGACTGTAAGTAACAAACCACTTAGTATAAACTGCTTTTTAAGTAAAAATTCCATCTATGGGTATATATATCTACAAGATTTCCGGTTTGGTCTGCTCCATGTGTCCATGTCCTGAAAAACTGCCAAATAGCAGCAAAAGCTGATGAAATCATAGGGGAAAACTCACTGCCACAGGAAACCAAGTATTGTTGAGTCAACTTCTTTCTTCCTGGTTATGTGTTTTATACTTATTAGGCAAAACAAAAGACCTGTACAATTGTTACACAAATATGAGTATATTATATAAGAAAAATAACGACAACAGAAAATGTTTATGTTCAAAGGTCATTAATGCTTAGAGATTCTGCAGTATCTTCTGATATGGAAAATAGACTTAACATCTCAGTCTCCAGAGGATGCATACTGCCTGCTGTGATAATCAAGGAATGTAAAGGTCCTCCCAAATCCACAGTACACATCTGCTGTAGAGTGCCTGCTGCAATCTTCTGGTCCTCAGCTCCAACTCTGGCAAGGCCAACACAGAGTGTCTTCTCAGTAATCGCTGTTTAATTAAAAAAGAGGGAAAAAAAATTACATGTCATTCTCTATATTGTTCCAACATCATTCTGTAAACCATTCCAATATAATGTGAATAGAGGAATGTGTGAAACACATTCATATATAAACTAAACACATTAATACATAAACTAAACACAATGTATGTAAATTTTGTATGCAAACTATTTTTTAAATAAAGTACATTTGAAGATGCTTTATCTTACATTTCGTTAACTGCTAATTATTATCAATTAACCATTTATTCAAAGCTTTATTTAAAAAAAGAAAGAAAAAAGTACTGGTGTTGTTTATTTTCCAAAATATTCATGGCTCTAATATTTTGAAGAGATAATGTTGTTAGGTGCTGTCACCATTGACTGTGATTCATAGCAACTCTATGAACGGTGACTCTGAACTTTGCCCTATCCTGAGCCCAAGCTCACTGTCTCTGACACACCACTGCCACTATCACTGTATCAATCCATCTCATCCGGGGTTTTTCTCTTCTGCACTGACCCTCTAACCTTCTAAGCATGATGTCCTTTTCCATGGACGGTTCTCTCCTGGCAACATGCTCAAAGTATGTGAGATGGAGTTTTAAAATTCTTGCCTCCAAGGAGTAAATTAGTTTTGCCCTCTCTAGGACAGGTTTGTTCTCTTGGCAGTCCATGGAGTGTTTAATACTCCGCTCCTGCATCACAACTCAAAGGCATCAGTTCTTCTTCTGTCATCCTTATTTATTCACTGTCCAGCTCTCAGATGGAACTGAGAAGATGACAGCCTGGACCAGGCACAACTTAGTTTCCAAATGATATTGTTGCTTTTTAGCACTCTAGAATGGTCCTTGACCAGATTTTCCCCGATGTAACTTGTCTTTTGATTTCCTGACTGCTGGTGCCAAGGGTGTTGATTGTGGATGTGGGCAAGATGAAACTGTTAACAACTTCAATCTTTATCTGTCTTGATACTGTCTATTGATTGGCCTATTGGTAAGAATCTTTGTTTTCTTAATGTTTAAATGCAATTCATATTAAAGGCTATAGTCCTTGACTTTCTGCAATAAATGCTTGCACAGTTTCAGTGAGCATGTTTGTGTCAGCTGCATAATGCATGTTGTTGATAAGTCTTCCTCTAATCTTGATACCATTCCTCTTCATAAAAATGATCTATTCAGCATACTGACTGGAAAAGTATGGAGAAATGACATATCCCTGACACATTCCTTTAGTAAACAAAGATAAAGCTTTCAAAGAATAAAAAACACAATGTTGCTATGTAGGGAACATAAACCATAATGTGTATGGTATGCATAAATTATTGAATGGAAAACTAATTTGCCCTGTATACTTTAACTAAAATCACAGTAAAGAATTAAAACCAAAACCAACCCCCAAAAGCACTATCTCTGTAGTGGTGGTGCCGATGATATGTCTGTGTATATGCGTAACATCGATTCTATTATTACACATCTACAACAGCAGAAGAATATTCGAGCCCTTGCAAGTTCTTAAGTACCTGGTTCTTCTCCTCGAAGTCTTTCATTTTGAACAATCTCCAGAAGCTGCTGAGCTGCTTGGTTTACGCTCATATACTGAGGAGGTTCATAGATCTTCCTTCCCCTGTAAGTATAAAACTAGATGCCACTGTTCTTAGCCATAAAATTATATAGTAAGCTGTTAATACGATTACACTCCTAGGTAAACTCAAGTTCCAGAATTTAAACTCTGTTTGATGCTTTCAGACGATAACTTCTTTCAATTAATCCATGGAAAGAATGTTTAATCTTAAAGTTTCTTAGGATTTTTCATGATTCTACTTCAGTTGTCCTCTCATTTTAAAGGTATCTTTGCAGGATCTCTAAGACAAAGTTACTTTAATTTAAAGTCATGCCTTAGCAAAAAAATGCAATGGAAATGGCAATTTCGTCTATGCACTAGCTTAATCGGGTCTATACTGTGCACTTTTATTACTACATTGAAAGCACAGGTTCCTCTTTCCACTTCTTTCTCTAGGGTAAGTAAACTAAAGAGCTTAAGAAGTGAAAATTTTAGATGGTGAGATAGGTATTTTACTCTGTCTGCCTCAAAAGTCTACTAGGTGTTCCTCACAATAAAGTAAAAATAGAGTTTACATAAGTTTATTTATAAATACAACCATAAAAATTATTTTACTGACTCTCAAAATTTTGTTAAGAATTCTGTTAAAGAAACAGAGCATGAGACACAAACATAATTTGCTATTTTCTAGAAGTAACAGGGAAAAAAGTAAAATAAAGGCAAAATTTTAATATTTAAGCTCAATATGTTTAAAAAGTTTCAAAATTGGGTCATATAAAATTACTGAAATTTGTATCTATATTTGATTAAAAGTCTTTGAAATCAGAATGTATTTTATACCTAGAGAAAATCGTAATTTGGAAGCTAAATTTTTATTGGAATTAATCTTTATTTAAGTTTCATAAAACAGTTTTGTAAACTGGTTCACAACTCAAATTTGTTTCAAACCTATTTAAAAACGTTTCAATAACTAAATTGTTAGCTTTAAATGAATTAGAACAAAAGTCATTTCCACAGCAGCATTAGACACATTTCAGGTACTTATTCATCACATGAAGGGAGTAACACTCATATTAAACAATGTTGTTCCAAGCAAAAATGGATTACTCTTATGATACAAATGAGGAGAAAAGGGCTCTGAGGTGGAATTGATGTGCTCTGAGACACACATTAGTTATAGATTTGGGACTTGATCCCAGATCTTCTAACTTCTAATTCATTAATTCAGTTCACAGGTATTTATTGAGTAATTAATAGGTCTAACTAATGCTATTTTCACTCTATTACATTGTATTGCTGAGTTGGAACCAACTCAGAATTGACCTGCTACCAGTTTTCAGAGGCAAGAAATCACGTGGGAGGAGAATGCCCATCTTTCTCCTGAGAGAACTGAGAGAAACTGGTGGATCTGAATCACGCGTCTTCTGAGTTGTCAGCTTAACTCCTTACCACTCAGCCACCAGAGCTCCTTCTTTCATAGCGGTTACCATTGCGTCAAAGTAAAAATACTTCATTTTTAATTGTTGATTAAAGCTGACTATCAGCAATCTTTAGAACGGAAGTCATTTAACTGAAATTTAATAGAATTATTCAAGGAATTTAGATGTAAGCATTCTCATAATAACTTACTTGATAAGATTTTCCAAAGACTGTTCCTTTACTTTGATGTCTGCAGGAAGTGAAAAATACATCTTTAGATTTAATGAAATATTTATCTAAAATCTTCTATGTACACTGCAGCTAAGAGTCACTTTTTGAAGGACGCACTCTTCCCAAACTGCAAAATGGTCATCTGAGAATCTGTGGCATTGCTCCCTAACATTTCTACTGCGATAGAACCATTTTATGGGAACAGAAGAATCAAAGTTCATAGTTGTGTAAAGGCCACGAATAAGAAAACATGAAAGCTGGACCCTGAGAGCTAAAAAACCTCTTTTTCCCTTTGGAAAGGAAGACATATGAATAAAAATTGGGATATATTATGCTTACATCTGAAACAAACATTTTTTAAAAAATGTTTTACTAGGTAGTAAATAAATAAAAAAAAAAAATCAAAACAAAGTATCTTACAACGCTTCTAATCTTACCTGTGTTGCTGATATTAGACTATAAGTGTCCATTAGGTATAAAACAAACAGGGAAAAAGTTTTACTACATTATGAAAGACACTTTCCTTTTCTTAAGACATGCATGTTATGCACGAACATTTTAATGTCAAACATACATTTAAAAGGTATTCATGAAGCATCATCTGCATGTCAGATCCTATGCCTGGTATGCAGCACACAACAGGGACAAGAAGGAACATGAGGCTCTCACAAAACTGAGTCTAAGTGTCAGTCACATTTGATCCTTTACAATTATAATCACTGACAGTTAATTGAACTATTTGGTAAACGGTGAAAAAGCAGAGTCAGTGTGCCCTTACAGGAACTCAATATACAACTGCAAAAGCAACAGCTGCTTCCTGTTTTACATAATGAAAACAAATGGTTCAGCCAAAGTTTGTTCTTAAAAAATAAATACAGTGCAGTGGAGGGATCTCTCTGACAATCTTCTGCAGCTTTGCTAAGCAATTAAAAGTTTTCCTTATGAAAGATATAAAGAAAGCATTATCTTAGGAAGAGTAGGAGAAATTAATCTCACATGCATCTATTTCTAAACATGGTCTAAAGTGGAATCAGTTGTGGAAGTATTGTTCAAGTTCAAGATGATCATTCATTTACTAATTCAGTCACCTTGAGATTCTGAAATGTTATTTGTGGGAGTAAGATTCTTAATTTAAAACTGCCAAACCTTATTTTATTTTACAAACCTTTATTTTATTTTATCTACAAAATCTGACTACTAATTGAACATGTGACTGCATCAGCCCATTAATCAAGTTTTCAACCAGATCAGTCTTTGTACTCCCTCTTCTTTGTACTTCCCTCTTCATGTAAACCGTCTTGGAGTAGATTCTGACTCACAGTCGCCTTCTACTGGGCTCCCAAGGCTGTAAATCTATAACAGAGAAGATGGCTCATTCTTCTTCTGCAGAGTGGCTGGCTAATTGTGGATTGTCCACCTTCAATTCACAGGCCAACACTTAATACACTATACCTCCAGGCTCCTTTTCCTTACATAGGCTATAATTATTCCCCGCTCTCTCCACATCCTCTTGAAGCTTTTGGAAAAGAACAGCTACATCCTATTTCTCTCAGCATGCCCAGGACCTAGCACAATGCAAGGTATGGAGTAAATAGTTCAAAGCTGTGTACTGAAAAAAACTAGTTCATGTGGCTCTTCTACTACCCATAATATCCTACACATTCTCTTAAACAACTCATTTCCCAGTTCCTTCATGAGGCCTTTACTGATCTCCTCTCAAATGCTCTCAGTTGTTTAAAATAGCTAAGCAACTAATTTTACTGCTTATTAATCTCTATTTCATACATATACGTTATTTATATATAGTGTTTTTTGGCTCATTTGCCGTAATTCTTACAGTACTAATCCCATACCAAGCATTCAACAAATACATACGAATTTAAATCATGAACATTTTTAAATGATGAAATCTTTGACAGACAATGTGGGATCAAGATATCCTATAATTTACAACTTGTTCCTGCTTTTGTTAACGGAGCAAGAAAGATTGTTTAACCTTGTTTTTCTCTTCCCAGCAAAGCCAGGAAGAGAGGCAGCAATTTGAGAGCTCAAAAGCCAAAGTTCTGGTCTGTCCTTCCTGCCTCGCCATACAATAGAACTTCACTGTCTGTTAGACTTTCATGTGTGTAACACATTAGTTCCAAATTGGATTTTAACTTAATACTCTTAGCAAATGCTCATAAACACAAACCTGTTAATTGATTTTGTACTACTCTATCTAAAAGTTTCCCTAAAGATAAATAATGCTTGAGCCTCCTTGCTGCATTTAGAAAAATTAACAAGTAGTCTTCTTATTTTTTTTTCCTCCATATTGTGTTTTAAAAGCTTACACTCTTCTATCCTTTCTCAGTTCTATTGTAATACACATGGGTCTCAGCTGCAATGAGTTCCTATTTTTAATCCCTCTGCTACGTGAGTTTTTATCTCTGCCCGGAACAAGTCTTTTAAACAGTGATCATTCCACAATGACCATCTATCTACCTCTGCTTTTAACTGACACATCACGCAACTGACACGTGCTTTACAGAACATTTGTTTGAAGGGTGATAAAACTGTGAGACTATCCACAAGGACACTGCTGGTGTAATCCCTCGGGAGTTGCACTGCCAACCCAAGGGCCATGACTCTGGCAGTTCAAATCCACCAGGGGCTCTGTTGGAGAAAGATGGAAAACTTCCTCCCTCAGAAAACTGCTGGAGGGTCAGGTAGAGGCTGGTTCCCACTTCACAGCAATGAGAGATAGAGTCTCTTTCACATGGAAAATTCAAGAGCAAAGTTATAAAGCTAAATAAACAGCAGGCAGATTTATCAAATACAAAATCGCAGTGCAACAAATAAACCAAGAAAAGAGGGGATAAATAATGAACACTGCATTGAAATAGATGAGTAAAGAACTGTCTAAAGTAAATATACAAATTAGGTATTATTTACATGACAACAGTCCAGAATGAGAGGTGTATAGCAAAGTGGACTGGGGGGAAGAGGAAAGATAGGAAATTGTGCAACAGTGAAAAAATATTTTTAAAAAGAAAAGTGAACTAGGGGGGTAGGGAGATTTTTTTTTTAAAAAATAACAGCCGTCCCTCTCCATCTCTCCGTATTACAGTAGCTAATGATGAAATGTAGGCATAAGCAAAAAAAAAAAAAAAAAATGTTGTCAGGCCTAGAAAAAGCAAGATCTAGAGTTAGGTAGGTAGCAATGTGAAAGGAATAAAAGGAATGTATTCTAGCTGGAACTGACTGAACTGTTGTTGTTTTGTTGTTGTTATGTGCCGTCGCCTGCGACTCATAGCGACCCTATGTACAACAGCCCTAAACTCCGCTCTGTCCTGTGCCAATCGCACTGTCTCTGACACTCCCATCCCAGTCACTGAATCAATCCACCTCATAGAGGGCCTTCCTCTCCTGCGCCGTCCCTCCACCCTCCCAAGCATGATGTCCCTCTCCAAGGACCGGTCTCTCCTCACTACATGTCCGAAGTAAGTTAGACGGAGCCTCAGAATCCTTGCCTCCAAGGAGCCACCCGGTTTAACCCTCTCCAGGACAAATCTATTTGTTTTCCTAGCAGTCCATGGTATTCTCAGTACTCTTCTCCAGCACCACAGCTCAAAGGCATCAGTTCTCCTTCTATCCTCCTTGGTCACTGTCCAACTCTCTGATGCATAACAGGTGATTGCGAAGACTATGGCCTGTATCAGACGCACCTTAGTCTCCAGAGAGACACCACTGCTCTTCAGCACTTTGGAGAGGTCCCTAACAGCAGACTTTCCCATGGCAATGCGCCTTTTAATTTCCTGGCTGCTGGTGCCAAGACTGTTGACTATGGAGCCAAGCAAACTAAAGCTGTGTACAATCTCAATCTCTTCACCATCCATCCTGATGCTGCCGATTGGTCCAGTGGTGAGAATCTTTGTCTTCTTGACATTGAGCCTCAATCCATATTGCAGGCTGCAGTCCTTGACACTCTGCAGCAGGTGCTTCAGGTCCTCCTCAGTTTCAGCAAGCAGAGTTGTGTCATCCACATAACGCAGATTGTTGATAAATCGTCCACCAATCCTGACCCCACATTTCTCCTCATAGAGCCCAGCCTCCCAGATAATCTGTTCTGCATATAGGTTGAAGAGGTATGGAGATAGGATGCATCCCTGGCGTACGCCCTTCCCAATTTTGAACCATGCAGTGTTCCCTTGCTCTGTTCTGACGACTGCCTCCTGGTCCAAGTATAAGTTTCGCATTAGAACGATCAAGTGTTCTGGGATTCCCATTCTTCTCAGAGTCAGCCACAGTTTGTTATGATCTACACAGTCAAATGCCTTTGCATAATCAATGAAACACAGATAGACATTTCTCTGGTATTCCCTGCTTTCAGCCAAGATCCATCTAACATCAGCTACAATATCTCTAGTACCACGACCCCTTCTGAAACCAGCCTGGACTTCTGGTAGTTCTCTGTTGGTGTGCTGTTCCAGTCATTTTTGGATAATCCTCAGTAAAATCTTGCTTGCATGTGAAATCAGTGAAATTGTTCTGTAGTTTCCACATTCGGTTGGGTCGCCTTTCTTTGGGATAGGAACAAATATCGATCTCTTCCAGTCAGTTGGCCAAGTGGTCGTTCTCCAGATTTCTTGGCACAACTTGGTGAGCACGTCCAGGGCAGCATCTGTTAACAGATGCTGCTGACTGAACTAGGATAAGGTAAAGATTTTCTTGCCAAAGGGTAGTAAGGTCAAGTTAAAGAAAATTTTTTAAACTATTTTTGTCCACCAATTAACTTCCACATGTATTTACTGAACAGGTACAGACTTGTAGACATCAGGAAGAGAATAATGAGCAGAACAAAATCTGTGTTGTTATAAAGCAGAGAAAAAACCAAGTTAGCAAAATAATTCAAAGGTACTGAGAATAGAAAATAATAATTCAAAGTAACAGGAAAAATTTTACTTAAGGGTTGCACAATGTTCCAAATTGGGTTAAATTTTATTCTATCCGAAGTTGGTCAACTTTTTTCTGTAAAGGATAAGAGAGTGAATGCTTTAAGTTTTATGATCCCAATGGTGTCAGAACTTCTCATCCCAGCCACTCTAGGTCAAAAGGAGCCCCAAAAACCAACATTTAGTGATTTGAAATTAAATTACTGAGTGGAAACTTAAGAACTTCATGCAAAAACATTAAAAAGGGGTCTTTCACTACTACTTGCCAACTTCATGATACATATTCATCCTATGTGATAAGTATAAAAGGCAAATATTAAGGAATGTTCAAAGTAAGTCTCCAGTTAATAAGTGGCATCTCTGGCATTTGATATTCTGACTAAATACATAGTATATTTTCAAAGTTATCAAGATGTCAGCTCTGTTTTGCTCTTCAGCTACTGATGAAGACTTTAATACCAGTACTACAACATAACTGTGTAAGTAGGAACTAACACCACTATCAGTAAGTCAATATATATCTACTCGTAGAAAATGATTAGCAGATATTAATTAGTACAATTTCAGTGCTTCTGAAAGTCAAGCCCATGCCAGTGTGAAATGCCATCAGTGCCATCATCTTAGTACTCAGACAGCTGTCCCAGATATTTCCATACTAGGTAGGAAACATGATTGAGATAAGCATGGTGCAGTGAATAAAAGCTGTGGATAACAGACTAACTGGATTCTATCAGCTCTGCTACCACTTGGCTGGTGGTCTTGGAAGAGGATTCAGTGGCTTAAGTTTTGACTTTCTCTGTCAAACAAACTTGAGTAAGGTAATTTCTCCAGTTTCTTTCAGTCTATCACCACATCATTCTAATAGCATCAAAACTGCAATATTCAAAGAACAATCCCAGGATGATGTAGCATACTGCTGAATTTCAGAAAACTGACAGGAAAAGAATCTTGATGGACAAACAAGTAAGACTTGGAGTACTAGAGACAATCTACTAAGGTGTTAGAAGGCGCATTCTGAGCTGTGGTGGGTGCCAGAAATAATGAAGTGATAGAGCAGAAAATGAACGTCTAAAAGTATAGAAGAGCATGCAGAAAACAGCTAGACTATCCTTTCTTTCCTCTACCTAGTTACCAATCCAAGTATTTCTTTTACCTTAACACAAAATCAAAATGAGAACAGTATGACAGTATGACTCCATAGTGTGACTTGGGGAACTCTAGAATCCTTACCTAGTAAACATAAAGTGTGCATGTCGTTTTGTCTGTTCTTCTTCACTTTGTCAAAAAAGCTTTCTGGTCTCCAAGTGTCTGTCCAAAACACAATAGAAACTGTTTCTCCAAACCTATACAACTAAGGGAAAATGAAGATATTAATCAGTGATCTAACAATTCACTATTTCATAAACATGTTGTCACTGTTGAATGCTGTCGAGTCGAGCACGGCTCAATGAACAAAAAACTTGAAGCCTTTATATAACTATAGTCATTTCTCAAAGTTACATAGTTTCCAGAGGCATGTTTTTTAGGAAGTAGATGCCACTGAATTGAATACCTTTTCAGATAAAATAAAAGAGTATTAGATTTAAAAAGGGTTGAAGATTAAATCTGATACGACAAAGGTGATAAAAGTTCTGCTTCACTGCAGATTGTGTTCTGATGGTCCTTTCAATTATAAACTTCTAATATTTCAGTATAAATCAGAGAATAAATGCAGCTAATATTTAGCCATGCACCCAATAAAATTACTGAATCACAAGACTCTGGACTGTCAGGTGTTCGCTCCTGCAAACAATGGAGCAAATGATGGATTCAAACTTCAAGGTGCTGGCCTTTAAGTCAGCAGCTGAGTATTTAACCACTGCACCACCAGGAATCCTTGGTCATACAGCTCGTTGGTAACACAAAAAAAGCAATTCAGAGCTACCTCTAAGGAAGTGCTCCTTTAAAACATGTCATCTCAGTAAAGTTTAAACACTGTCAAGTTACTACAACTATTCATCAAAATGTATACCCATTAATTTAACAAGAGTCTCTGTGTTCCCTCCCAGAAATTCTGTTCAATGATGAGGACCTATTCCCAGATCTCCTTTCCCTCAACAAAGCGAGTTCAATTCATATAATCACAAATTCCTGCCTAAGAAATGACAGCTTTCTCAATTCTTCCAAAATTTCTCTACTATTAGTTGTGTGACACTGTGCAAACTTCTTTACCTCTGGGTGCCTCAATTTCTGCATCATAAACTGGATATAATAAAAGTGGGTTTAGGTTGTTAAAGGGATTGCATAAGTTAATACATGTAAATGCTTAAAATAGAATATAGCCTATAGTGAGCTCTATACAAATGTTTGCTGTGATTGTTACTGTTCTGTGGGAGACATATTCATCCAACAATCACTTATTTTATTTTTATCAGAAAAGATATATATTATTGAAACCGAAGGAAGTACAGATGTCACTATTCATGACAAAGAAGAGGTCTGAAGAAGCCAAGGTTGCCGTCATATTGATGAAAAAGGTCTCGTTTCACTTGCAATCATAAACACAATTTCATGAAAACAGGTTCTCTCTTTTGTCTTCCTCCATGCAAGGCCACTGCCTTAAGTTAAAACTTTTAAGTAGCTCTTACATAATTAGAGGCAAACAGACAGTAAATCCAAGTGCCACAGCCCACACCCTTCTGTCCTGCCGTGCATCCCCCTCCCCAAACATGCTCCCTGCCAGGGGGCTGGGTTAGGAGAGACTCGTGGGGTGCAGGCAGCAGAAATGAGAATGGAGGGCAGAAATGTCCTTTCTATTTTGATCACTACATGGGGCTGATAACCCACCCCGGACCTTAGCCTTGGATTTGCAAACTTGTTGATCAAACTGCTATTTGCTTTCACAGAATGAGCTCTCTGATCCTTCTCTAGAATGATGTTCTCATTCAATTTTTTCTTATTAGGAGAAAAAGAAATGTTCCACCTCTGGAGTTCCCGTGGATGGAGCTGGGCTCATTTTCCAAGCTGGTTTACCTTCCTTTTCAATCAAGCTCTGTTTGGCCTGGTTGAAGCAGTGCCTGTACTAGGTGGCCAGCACCGTGCAGCTGAGGGTCTGGTGGGTGTTCTGATGGTAACACTGGAGGATACTGGCGTGCAGGTCAGCACAGACTGGATGATAATCATACCACTTGAACTTTGCTTCCATCTCAACAGCTTTCTGATACTGCTCAGTCGTGACTCTAGAACTCTGAGCTCCTCTCCTCCCGTCCAGCCAGCTGCTCCGTGTAGAACTAATCCTGTTTTCGTGGTCAGCTGGTCTTTCTCTTCCAGCTGCTCAGCCTCTCGGGGGTACTTGTAGCTGCCGTCCTCACCTCCCCACTGAGGTGACTTGGATGATATGACTTGATTCATTCTGCTGACACTTTTGCCTTCAACTCTTACCGTATCAGAGTTTTCCTTCATGTGGATGACAATTTGCCATAAAACAAGCACAAACATACCGAAAACACCAGCTTCTGAGGCCCTTCTGAGGTCTGTCTGCTAGAGAAGACAGACGGCAGCGCTGCTGCTGCGATGGGAGCAGCCATCTGCTGTCTCGTTTCCCCCTCCACCATCCCACCACCCCATGGAGGGTGTCATTCAGGGAGCAGCGAGCAATTATTTATTATTGATCATCCATTATATGGCAGGCACTAGGCTAGGCACAGGTATAAAGTAACAAGCGAAGCACTGAGTTGACCATCATGGAAATGCATTCTTGTGTAAACTTCAGTGAAGGCAATTACTTACTAAGTGGGTGATCATGGACAAGCCAAGTAACCTTCACCTCTCAAAAGAAAATCCCTACAAAATGGAACAAATAACTATAAACCTAAAACTATGGGTTTAAAGGATTTGGCCACATAAAATGTCAGAAGTGCCTAGAAGTACCCTACGTAAAGATTGAATAAATGTCAAGAGATTTGATGATGTAGTAATAATGATGTTTATAGTAATGCTATCAAAATATTCTAAAATGACGTGTCCTGCTACAATCCATCTGTTTTCCTTTTTGGGAATAAACTAAAAAACATTACCAAATATTTGAAACTATTTGAACTTCACTTATGATTTCATTCTGACAAGTTCAACTGTTTATATTTCGAAAATGACTTTTTGCTTCCCTTATCAGATTTCGAAATATTAGCATTTTCTTAGTAAAAAGACCTTGAGTGAAAACTACTGAAGGAAAATGATGTATGCAATTACACATAAGTACTTTAAATTGGCCTTACATATGCTGCGTCATAGAAATACAGTCACAGAAGTCACTAACTACATGCTTTATCCAAAGAGAAAGGGACAGACCATTCAAAGGAGACTTGAGATGCCAGTCACATATAAACACTAAAGCATTCTGTGTAAAAGCTTCTTTGAATTGTCTAAGTCTGAGGTTTAAAGAAATTCTCACATAAGCAATGCTTTCTAGGACCCTGATTTATAAACTGTAACCATTTCTGTGGCTGTGATGCAAACTTCTTCAAAGAGTCCTAGAGCATTATGCAAACCATTTCACCATTTAGATGTCATACCTCAAAGAACAGAAGGACCAGTCCTTTGTGTTTCACAATCAAGGTCCTACCAGTAAGTGATAAAAAGCAACTGGAGCAACATCACACACTGACGAGAATGAAGGGTGGTGCAGAAGTCTATGCACTGAACTGTCTTACAATGCAAGCCTTTGTGCAATGATTATTTTCCCCCAAAATACCAAGAAAATCTTAACAACAAAATAAAACACAACATCTGCTTTCTAAGAAAACAGTAGCTAAATACAAGCCCCCCTTTTAAAAAAAAAAAAAGATCCAAATTTGGAGTAACTTACATAGAATTTGGGAACGCAGTTCATCTATGTGAATGTTTTGAATCTACTAAAGACAAACAAATGGAAATTGGACTTTAAATGACCCAATAATTATGTATAAAACCATCTAGCTGATGTGAGAAGATACACATTAAGACAGTAAACATTCAGATCAACTGTGATATATAGATGATAAATACCACAAAAGAGTTCAGCATTCTCTCACTTGGGAGCACCAAGATGCAGATTCTGAACAAAGTCTATAAAGTGGACCTGAAAATATGGGCAAGGTTTAGACTGGGAAGTTGAGCATAAGGGAAGAATGAGATGGTATGAATAAAATAAGAGAAATGGGAAGTGGGGTAACATTTAAAATGGCATTAAGCAATTCTCCAGAAATAGCTAAGTATACCTGACTTGCCTCTAAATGTACCTCTAACTCCTGACATCTTGACAAAATCCAATTCCTGTCAATTTCAGCTCTATAATTCATCAAGAAAATTGACTACATCCACCCCACCACCTTAGTTCAAACCCTCAAAGCCATTTTTCTGAACTACCTTACCGGTCTCCAAACTAATCTACATGATGCCAAGTTCATCCTCAAAATGCCTATCATGTTAACATTCTGAAGAGACATTTCTCAATCTTCCAGGGTAAGTATTAGCTTTTACTTACAAAGATAAAGATAAAGATAGATAGATAGATAGATGATAGATAGATAGATAGATAGATAGATAGATAGATAGATAGATGATAGATAGATGATAGATAGATAGATATAGATATAGATATAGATCTCAATGGGAAAATGTTAAAAAAGAGAGTCTATCTTCAAGAGCTTTCAATGGTCTAAGCTTGAATAATTTTAGCAATAAAATGACAGTGGTGAATGATAAATAAAACTAAAATCCTTAAGTCCACACAGATATAAATAAACTGAGTAAAGAAATTAATTAAATAGAGTGAAGGGCCAAGTCTTCTTTACAGAGTTCCAAATAATATATGTAGATATCTATTCTTCCAGTTGGGCTATACTTGATGACTTTCCATTCTCTGAAATTGCTTATTATAGGAAAGTGAACAATATTAGCTTTCCAGTGGAGAAATCAGGCAAATACCACCTTAACAAGGTGATGAAGCTTAAAAAACATTGACACTATATGATGTAATGAAAAGAACACTATTCAATCTGTGATAATCTTTCCCAAATTCTTACTCTAGTCTAATAAGGAGAAAATATCAGATAAATCCAAACTGAATGGCATCTGACAAAATATACTGGTTGTTAGTTACTTTTTAAAGCTGTTAATATCATGAAAAACAAGGAAAGAAAGAGCAAAATCAGAAGAGATTGATGAGGGCAATCTAGATTATTTAGGCAATCTAGCAAAATGAGAATGAAGTTTGTAGCTGAAGGTACAGCTTATTGTTTAAGATCATGGCGATCTTAAATTTAACAGAACAAAATATTACCCTGCCATGTACCATCTTTGTTGTTATGGCTGAGTCCAGAGTTGTGGCTATTT